TTTAGTTGGTTCTGTTTTTCGTTGACATACTTCAAGCTTTTTTCGAACCATAATTTTGCCGAAACAATTGATTCCAAACCGCGCATTAATAATTTTTTCTGGTCTTCTAATTGTTTCATAAATTTCATCTGCAAAAATGATTGAGGTAATGAATTATTTCCATTTATTTAAGAAATCACGCCAGACACCAACTAAACAACTTTGGCGTCTTTGGGTACGTACGTACCAAATCGTCGTCTATTCCTGCTGTAACTGCGTTGCGTTGAATCTTTGTGTCCAGTTCTTCAAGCGACAGACAAGGCTGCGGTAATATTCCAGTGGTAAAGGATGGAACAGAGTTTGGTGGCGGCGTGACTTGCTGCACTCCCATAGTCTTAGAATCTAACATAATTGAAAACATACATACCGTATATATAATTGTATTAGGTCTATACATAATCATCCCATGCAAATTATCATTAGACGAAGATTTCAGATATGCAGTTGTGTGTCGATGACAAACATAATAACAGCGTAAACATGGGAGTTGACAACACGATTCTGCCCCCAAAAGGGACAGAACAGAAAAAGTTTAGCGCGTGCTCAACTGTGGGCAATTATAGTAGACTTACAATAAAATCAATTCTCACAGATTGAAAATTATATATATATCACAAAACAGAAAAAATTAGAATACTTGGAGTAACTGGGGGCGCAACAAATGGATTCTCATTGCCGTGGTCAGTCTCATTTTTCATATTTCCTGTTTTTGAATCACCGTGAGAAGTCGATAATGCAGACGCCAATTCTCCAACATTCGTTGTAGAGAGTTTTCCGACGTCGTCACTACTGGTATTTCTGGAATAATATTAATAGCCTGATAGTTTATAGAAAATTATTTTTTAATTATGAGCAAAATGCCATTTTGTAATTAATAAATATCAAAAATCACTCTCGAACTCAATAACTCTTTCTCGGCCATTGATAAAAAGTTGTGATATCTGCTAATCTATCATGGCCTGTTTAGCTAATTTTGGCGAAACTCTAACCTCGAGGTTGGCAATGCAACATCGGGTATTACAGGTGGTGGGAAAAGAGCATTGTCCTCTTCTGAAAATTTCTCACGGACCTGCTCGTCCCCGGACGTAGATGTTCTGCACAAAAATCATTCATATAAAAAAAAATTATTTTATTTTCTGAAATAATATATTTATATTTTTGCACAGATCGCAATCTAATTGAACTGTTAGGCTGCATTTTATCTAAACTGTATGTATCATAGAAAAACAAGGCTCTCTCTCTGAAAGAGGTCAGTGATTGTTAGGGCCGATTGTTTACCCGATTCCGGTATGATTCTTTCCATTTTCTTGAATCCCGGTATCGTTCTGAGTCTTTTTAGTATTTGGAATCTGTGTACATTAATTATTAAACAACATTCATTCGTGGATTCATGCATTTGGAATTGATGGATGCCAGCAAAACCACGATAGCATCGCACGTTGACTATTTCAGACTGAAACTGATTATTAACAGTCTAACGAATAGTGGTTGAATAAACATATCAGACCTTGGGACTTGAATAGAAAGCTTGAACTCGGAAGCGATATGCACCACGCCATAAAAATTGTTATTTTATTTGTGGTATTACGACCATGTTGATTCATCATAACACTGTCGCTTGAAGAGGGGGTGATGGTTTTCAGAATGCATATCGATGTAGTGATTTGAAAAATTAACTCTGAAGTGTTTTGTAAAATAAACCAGATTCCATATATCGCAGAGCGTTATTCTAACCAATAAAAGACGATATATATACCATAATACCTTGTCGGCCCTGTGAGCATCCTCGTCCACGATGTCCACGGTCGACAATTTACGGCATTGAGAGAATGTCTGATAGAAGTATTTAACATGAATGAATTGAACTGAGAGTACTTTGTCATATATAGGTATTGTAATACGAAATCAAGGATTCACCCACAAGCATATACATGAACACATCATAGGCCTATACATACATTCCAATTATATGTATTCTATTACTTACAAATTCATCGTGACCACGGTTCTGTTGGTAAAAGTGACTGATATAAAGTATCATGTTGCATGCTTTTACATCAGAAAAATATCCGATAGTATTTGGATTATACAATCATTTATATATATATAAATCATACATATATATATATATATATATATATATATATATATATATACTTTTGATTACATATCTTCCGGACTCACCAAGACTTTGTTAGCCTTCACCATTCCTCTGCCGAACCATGAAGCAAATGCATATATACAATGCACCGCAGTCAAATAAGATGAAGCTTCATCTTGTTTCTAAGAAATTAATTTAACAAAATTGAATAATGTGTTGCGAGAACGTTAATATTCAAGAATGCTTTCTTGATATCATTGAATATGTAAAACGGGCCTGGGAACTAGATTTAAAACTCCGAATTTTAAACTTCGTGGGGCCGTTAAGTTTCCCGTCATTGGGTGGAGTAGTGACATCAAACCAGAAGTCGAGAGTCGTAATTTCTCCCGGAAACGACACAATTATCATAGCCTACTCTTAACTTCTGTTATTACCTAGTCAAAATATGTATTACCAGTCGAGTTAGTAGTCGCTCCTATTCGGGATGGGATTTACTAGAAGCCCAAATAGAAGCAGTGATTCTGTCCTACTCCAAGTACGCGTATTTGATACATACTTCTCGATTGAGACTCATAGTAGCACATAAAAGAATGAAAATGCGATTGGGATGGACGATATCCCTTGCGTAACGACTGCAAAATTTCAGTGTTTGAAATTTCAGTGAAACTGTTCACCCTCTACAGGAGGTATAGGAAAATCGCTGGTATGGCCATGGAGAACAACGGCCAATTAAAAAATTGTGGAATATCAGATTGATCTTTTAATTGACGAATATTCACGGAGGCATTAGAGCCTAATTCTTTTATGCGTTTTATACGCATTCTACTCTGAAAAGGGATTATAGTACTGATAAAACCTTTACTTCAGCGATTTTCCGGATAGAAGATATATATAAATATTATGAAAGTGATGTTGACACAGTCAAGTGATCTGTTCACTGAAGTTGTTCAAACTCTGGGTTCTTACGCTTCTTTTCAGCTTCTACACTTTGCTTCATCATGCCGAGCCACCAGCGTTCGCGTTCGGCTCACATATAACTTACTGGTTTGTTAGTGTTCGATAAGTTTGAAGACATTCTGATGTTCACGAAAATTTTATGTTTATTTCGATGTGAAACCTCAGATTTCGTTACATAAAAAAAGCAATAAATCACAAGGAATTAATATCATTGGATTTTCATTACCGCCATTGCTGATGAACGAGCGTGTTTAAGGCTCAGTCCACACTCAAAGAGCAAAATCTGCACACGCGAGGAAGAGAAAGCAGCGGATTTCTAATCCGTCGTGATGGGTTCAAACTTTGAAAAGTTTTGAGAATTTTTGAAAGATCATGGAGAGCAAAAATTGTAAGAATCTGTAGCCATTTCTTTTTGTTGAATTTCACAAATTTTGTATAGTAAATAATATTTTTTATTGGGAAAACTCAACTATGACATGGTAAGCAATTCATTTGATTGTTATATAGGCCGCCTTGATTCTGTTTTAAAGTTGAAATATAAATTTGCTTGCTAATCCGTCCAATGAGCATATATACAATGAGTGGAAACTTGCAAAGATTTGCTCATTATGGCATTGTTCCCTGCATTTTTACGTCGTCCAGCTAAATGGTTCGTTGCATATTAAGAAAACGCGTTGCTCGCTGCCAAAATTCCTTGCTTCAGCCGAGTCGGGTGCGAATTTGGCCGTATTACCTTGACTTGAGGTCTTTAATTCTTCAATACATATTTGATTTTGGGTTTCGAAGTATGGTACGCTGAAAGCATACAACTATGAGCCTATGCTTACTGGAGAGAGGGATTTTGGCAGCGAGCAATGAGTTTTCTCCATATGCAACGAACCATTTAGCTGGACGACGTAAAACATGCAGGGAACAATGCCATAATGAGCAAATCTTTGCAAGTTTCCACTCATTGTATATATGCTCATTGATCCTTCCTAACACATAGCCATATCAGACAGTGGCGTATCTAGGGTATCTTTATTACTATCTTTATCAGTGTTTCCCGGTCTGATTTGACTCGTGAGCATTTGATAAATATTCAGACTACTGCTCGCTATCTTGGAAAGATCTCTCGTGATTGGTGTAGGTGTGCCAACCCACCCCTATTGGTGTTGCACTCGAACTCTGCTTCACAAATGCGGCATATGTACACTTGGCATTACTTTGAGCCAGAATATAATTTCAAGTTCATCACTTCTTACCAACTTATTTGACTACATTCATTTAGTTAGATCGAAAAATAAGTTAACTTACTTCAGCGGAAGATTTTCTAAATCTTCGCCCTCGCCTCTTTCTCCCGCATGACACCCTGTGTCCTTCGTCGTTGTCTTGGGTAACGATACCCACTTTGTTTCGTTTTAGTGGCATATTAAGCAAGCATGCTGCCAAAAATACCGAATAAAATGTCGACTTAAGCAAAAAGTTCAATTACCCCAAAATTGTATACTTATTACGTCACAATAGGACACGGGATGTTTATGCCAATCAGCAGTGACATATTTATCAATCATATCCTGAATGTCAAAAGGCTTTATAAGGTTTAGGTTTGAGTTGAGTGAAAAACTTCAGGTAACACACTCCATTGGTATGCGAAAACAATGAAATATTGTCTTTCTCGGGGAAAAGACAGGCTTTTCAGATTTTAAGTTCAATTCATCTCTTCTATATTGTTGTAAAAGGGCATTCCTTTTATAATGTGGTCATCTGCTGTTTTGATGTAATTTAACTTATTTAGCTTTTTGTTTGATAATATTGAATCAATTATTTTTTCCTCTTGCCATGAAATTAGCCTAAATTCGTGCAAAGATGATTGAACTTTCTGCTTCGCCGCACACAAAGGTCGCATTGCTACAAGCTTGTAGCTTTACCACTTTACGAAGCACAGAAGCAAGTATTCGGCGCGAGCACGTTTTGCATATTTGTTTGTAAACACTTTGATAGCATAATGGCACCAAGTCCAGCTCGAGGGCGTGAAAAAGCAACGAATGACACTACCGACGGAGGACGAAAAAAGGCTAGATCATCTTCCAGGTTAGTGCGGTAGACTATTATCAGACTACGGTACGGTACCGGTATGTTACAAAAAATCTGCATCCAGTCTGCAAGATTTGGGGTCTGGTATAGTTTGGTACCACATGCACTTCTAGTTGGCCTGGCTCAACAATTTTTGCATATGCCAATCCTAAACCCCACCTGACTACGTCACCGAAAAATTACGTCATTTTGACGTCACATTGGCGTAATAAGGCCCACCAAAGTACAGTATGCGGATGGTCGTCCAAAACGCGCAGATGATGACCCGAAATCGAGTAAGCTATTTCTTTCGTTTTCACGTCATAACGATCACGATGTATGTATGTACTGGTATGTTTATTAGTCTCGCCGGCGTAAGCGAGTTCGTTATCGGCGGCGCAGATGCCATTTCAGGCGATCGTAATTCTACTATAGCCCTATGACGTGTTTGTGACGTCGTATCGACATATTTTTTGAATGGCATAGTAAGGCAGTAAGGTGAGGGTTAGGATTAAATATGCAAAATTCGTTTTGATACACCAACTGGAAGTACTTGTGGTACTAAACTATACTAGACCCAAGATTTGAATAAAAGTCAAAATAGGGAAATGATATCAAGTTTGTGAAAAATGTCCAAGAAATAATTGAGATTCCATACACAGTATATACCTATACGGTACGTTACCATTATCCAATTTGGCAATCCTCGTAAAACTATTAATATGGTGTGGCAAAACTTTATTTTATTTGTTTCTATATTTTCACTTTTTCAAGTAGGCCTACCGGTAATTGATTTTATGTTTCGGCTTTTTTTTACTTCTGATCTCATCATGTCTCCGTGATTGTGTGTTTGTCTGGTTTGTGTGTGTGCATGCTCTAATTACAGAATTAGTTTCAATACTTTTGGGTGAGCGAACACGTAGTACTTCTTTTAACAAGACCTTTCCATCTGTACGTTTCAAACATTATTTCTGTACTTTAGGTTTTGTTTGCTCTCCCGATTCTATAATCAGTTTTATTTATTTTGTTTTTGTAGCGTACCGGCAATGTATGAAATAATTATCCAGGTTCAGAATATCTTCTAATATGATCTGACGTCAAGTTTTCTCTCAATAGTCCAAGTCTTTATGCTATTTTATGTCATTTATTAACAACTCGAACAGTAAACGATCCAAAACAACCAAACACTCCCAAAGGAACGAAAAGCATAAAATAAAAATAACAGATACCGCTACCAGGCAGTAAAATGCAAGAAAGACCACATACACAACAAAAGCACTGACAAAACCTGAAATCCAAGACAACTCTGAATAAAAACCAAATGACCCCTAGAATCTGGTACAATAAACTAGCTACTGCAATTTGCAAAACAGGCCGAAAGTAACTTATGACAGGCATTTAAAAAGACTATGAACAATTCTATAGGTGCACAACATTTGAACAATACTGATGAAAGCTAATTCCACGATAAAACTGAAAATACAACACTACGGTAAATGAACTGTAATGGCACTGTACTGGTAAAAACAATAACATGGTCCCTACGTCAGCCCACTGTCCAGCACAAAACATCCGACAGTCACACAACACAGACAAACATCCCTGAAGACCAGAGGCATTCACACAGACATTCAAAACCCACCAATCTAACCGAAACACTCAGACGACCGCACTCTGTATGTGATCCAATTTGTATTGCCAATTACCTTAACAATTATTTCACCACCATAGGCCCGAAACTGTCTGAAAATATTCCCCATTCTAATGATTCTTTTTTGAATAATCTCAAGAATCCAGTGAAAGATTCCTTGTTTCTTTAGACCAACGACAATCAATGAAGTATTTACCACCATAGCAAGTCTTCCTGATGGCAAAGCAGTGGGGTATGACAATATACCTGCCAAATTTTTAAAATACGCCGCTGATATAGTGTCTCCCATGCTGTGTAAGTTGTTTAATGCCTCCCTAGACCATGGTATTTTTCCCAATTGTTTGAAAATTGCTAAAGTCACACCAGTGTTCAAAGCTGGAGACAAAGAATGTGCAACCAACTATCGCCCCATTTCAGTTCTTTCGACTATGACCATAACATTCGAATTCGAAAAACTTTTGCATACCAGACTAACACAATTTATAGATCGAAATAGCATTATTAATAAGTCACAGTTTGGTTTCCAAAAGAAGCACTCTACTAATCATGCAATACTAGATGTGGTAACTTACTTTTATGATAAATTAGAGAAAAGGGAATATATCAGTGCAATATTTCTCGACCTAAAAAAGGCATTCGACACTGTCGACCATCACATATTAGTTAGAAAGCTGAGCCACTATGGCATTCGCGGTCATGCATCAAAATTCTTTCCAGAGCTATTTATATTCACGTCAACAATATGTCAAAATAGGATCAAATTGCTCCGAACTTGCACTGTACAATGCGGAATTCCCCAGGGCACAATAATTGGCCCATTAATGTTCGTATTATTCGTCAACGATCTTCCTCATGCCACCAGATATTGGTCAAACTCTTCGCTGACGATACCGGGTTATTTGGAAGTTCAGTCTCGCCAAATGACTTGCAAATACACATGAACTCTGAAATGCAAAAAATTGCAACGTGGATGACTAGTAACAAACTAACTATAAATATTGAAAATCCAAATCACTTCTAATTAATCCCAAAAAAAATGAAAGAAGTGTGCATTTGATTAAAATTACTATTAATGGTATATTACTTGAGAATGTGAACTCATACAAATACTTGGGTATACACATTAATAACCAGTTAAAATGGGCAGCTCATATTAACTACATTGCTGGCAAGCTTGCTAGAACAGCAGGTATATTATTCAAACTTAAAAAGTTTCTCACCCCATCAGCTGTGCGATTAGTTTATTTTTCTCTCTTTCAATCATATCTTCAATATGGTATTGTAGCTTGGGGAAACGCATCTTCCACACTCCTTCGCAGATTAGATGTACTGCAAAATAAATCAATCCGAGCAATAGGCAATGCACCTTTACGATCCAGACTTGACCCATCGTATCACAGGTTAAAAATAATGATACTTTGCCATGTCCATAAATTTGAGATATTGAAACTTATGCACCAGTACTTTGACGGCAAACTTCCAACCGCATTCGCAGGATATTTCACCAAGCAGACTAATGTTCATTCGTATTACACAGATCTGCTTCACAAGCTTCCTTTCATGTACCGAGATACACGTCATGTAGAACGCAGAATTCCATCAAATACGTGGGTGTAAAGTTATGGAATAATATATCAGGTGAAATGAGATCACTATCCTATCATGGTTTTAAAAAGGGAACTTAAAAAGAAATACATTCATGACTACCTTTCTTTGAATTGATCACCAAAAAATCACCTACCGGTACCTATACGGTACTGCGCTTCTTTGCAACTGGCCCGAGTACTTGGTTAAGTCTATATTATTAAGTCATGTCATCGGCTTACCTGTCCGCTGGGTTAAATATTCGAATCCTGTCCCTTTGCTCTGTCGCAGCCAAATTGACTATAAAGTGTTATAGACTAGTCACTTTGGTCGCAACGTATCAATAACGTACGGTTATTCTACTCTGCCAAACAAAGCGCAGCTCTGCGAACGAATCAGATGTGCGTGGAGTCGTAATTTTTGAAAACCAAATTTTGGTTAAAGACCTTGCGTACATCATGTCAGGGGATACTGAAAGATTCAGTCTAAAGGGAATTATAGTTAATCGTTATATTTTTTTTACTCCACATCGATATATAACATATTTTATGTCTTTTCGTGCAACCGTTTAATTCATACAGTGCATTTCTTCTTTTATGAATTTGGTCACTGATTTAAATAATAAAAAAAACATGCTCGTAACCAGGATGTTATGTTTTTTTTTATTTTAAATACTTATGATGGATATTTGGTATTTTTTGTTTTTTGAAAATGTTCTTTTTTTTCTTCAAAATATTTATTTTGAAATGTTTTGGTGTTTCATTAACTTTTTATGCTATTAACCTGAATCAACAAGCGTTTTAGGTGTCGCTGCCTGAAGACCTCTTGAGGTCCCTCGCGACTCCTGTCACACAATTTAAGTTAGTTTCCACTTGTATTTGTAATATTTTTTTCATATATCATACCATGTTTGAATTGTGTTGACGAATAAATGATGATTGATTGATTGATCTGTCACACACAGCATACACCAACAGACCACGCTGCCCCAGAGAACCGATCGACCGTGTCGTAGCGTCTAAACTGCTAGAATACCAAATATGGAAACGATATCACATGACGTCATTTAACAGATAAAACAAGGGTCCTAGAATACCAAATATAGAAATATATTACATGAAGTCATTTAACAGGCAAAACAAGGGTCGTCACATTTTTATGAATTATTTTATCGTCTATTATGCTGATTATGGAGTCAAAATCAACTTATACTTATACAAATGAAAATATTGATGTTTTTCTTTTGTTATTGGAATCCTACAAAGATGGAAATTCATCGTTTTTGATCTGCAAATGTCACAATCAAAGCGACAACTTGCTTGGTGCTTTAAATGGGCGAATTGTCTGCCACCCCGTACGGTATTCTGGGAAACTTTTTTGCATTGACCTGATCCTGATGTGAGAAAACATATAATTCAAATAATTTCATTTTTGGTACAATTAAACATCAAGCTAACCTAAGAAACAGTCAGCCGTGTCTCAATGAATCCTCTTACGGTTATATAAAGATCTGTAGATAGAGAATTTATTGGTAGCAGAAACAGCATAGTCTGAAGTTGAGCGGTGATAGCTGCTTCATCTGTTAATGAAATCACTATTCCTCATTGTACTCATAGTTTTTATGGTACTTCAGTTTATTTTGTCACAAAAAATTTCTTTCATGTATTCTTAGCTGAAACTTTACACGTTTCTGTATTTTTTAAGTTTAAAATTGAGTCATTCTGTTATCTCATTTGCTTAAAATATATATTTAATTTTTTCTAATTTCATTACTCCCGTTAATTCAAGCTTCCTAACATTTTGGTTGCAGCTCTGGAAGCAGTAGTGGGAGTGGTCGGAGTTCCTCATCGGACAGCTCAAGCTCGTCTGCTGCATCTCATAGTAGCTCATCGTCCAGCAGTGGATCAAGTTCAGATTCTTCATCTTCTCCAACGAGAGCAAGGTCTGCTATGCTGATTTTGACTGTATACTAAGTAGTTGTACGCTTTCTCATCGCACACCGATTATTCTGTGTGGTTTTGAATCTTGTGGAGTTTGATCATTTGTGAGAGGAGTGCTGGTCTCATCCCCCATCGCAGGGTGATTTTACATCTTTCAAGAAAATTAACTGGTTGGCGCTTTCCATGCTGCACTGCACATTGACTGAATGAAATGTAGTGATTATTTCATGAATAATCCGATTTATCAACTTACCTCTCCCATGACAGATTTAAAAACATTCTGATAAAGTTAAATTACTGCCAAACTTATATAATTCTTAAATTCATCTCGCATATAGGTGCAAAGTCACTGATTTTACAAAGACCTGGAGTGTTCATATTAAATGCAAGTAAATTTGGCAAATATTATTATCACTTATAGCAGTTGTTAAGTTATCATCTGTGTCTATTATCATAGAATGCATTCATGAAATATGTGTCTGTGGGAAATTTGTGCTGACAAATGAAACTCATATTGATTTTAATGTAGTCACATATTTCATGGGCTGCATATAAGTCATAGTTCTGCACTTAATAATGTCACAAAGTTGAAAACAATTTTCTGTAGTAAATATTTCGAAACGACATTGCTAGACCATTTTGGCCACTTAAAAACTTCATGTTTAGCATTCTATTCGATTTTTTAATTTGTTTCGGGACCTGAATTATTTGGGTATTAAGCCACCCAAAATGGGGTAAAAGCAGACCTATTTGTGAGAGATCAGTTTTCATCTTGCTTGATGGTATTGCGGTATCCACAATTATTTCAATAAAAGAATTTTAATCAGTTTACTGGAGATGAAATTCTTTACTCATGTTTGTATTGCAGGGGAAGAACTCAGCGTGAAAGAAAACAATCAACATCTCCGAGAAGGCGCCGCCAACCTGCATCGGGTACCAGAAGGTCAAGATCACATTCACCAAGAAGACAAAGAAGGGAACGGAGGTATTTAATATTGCACAAAAATTGATTGTGTCCAAATGCCAAAATTGTGTACATACTAACATCTTAATTCCTTTTTCCTTTATAGCCCTAGTCCTAAGCCAACAAAGCTTCATATTGGAAAACTAACTAAAAATGTCACAAAAGACCATGTTCAAGAGATATTTTCATATTTCGGAAAGGTTAGTATTCATTTCTGTCTGCACATTGACACTTTAGCATGTGGGTCAATATCACAAATCTTTTAATAATATACTCAAAACATTGAATTTTACTTCAAGCACACAATCCTAGAAACCCTTTTATGATTCACCCGTACGTAAATATATTATATATATTATTGAATTTGAAGTACAAACATTGCTTCTTCTCCCATAGGTCAAAAATGTTGATTTTCCCATGGATCGTCCAAATGCCCCTCCTCGATGTGTTGCATATGTTGAGTATGAAACTCATGAAGAGGCGCAAAAAGCACTCAAGTACATGGATGGGGGGCAAGTTGATGGACAAGAAATTTCTATACAAGCAGTACTGCCTTTAAGAAGAAGACCGATGCCTAGGAGGTGAATACTTTATAATCACTAGTGTTAGATAGGTACAGTGGCGCAGCCAGTGGGGGGGGGGGGGGGGTCGACCCCCCTCCCCTTTTGAATTTTCTGAAAAGTGAAAAAGTTGCCGATAACACGTGCAATTGCCTTCTTCTAAAATCGCCGTTCGTTTTCATTAACGCGGCATGTTATTTATGCCGTGAACGTCCTTTACATTGGTGTTTATTCTCTTTAAATCACAAATTTGTACCGCGGGAACAATGATAATTATTTTATTTTTGTACCCGCACGGAAATGTGAAAACTGAAAAAGCGTGCAATTGCCTTCTGCTTAAATCGCCCATGTTTTCATCAGCGTGTTATTTAGGCCGTAAAGGCCCTTACGTCGGTTTTTATTCTTTCTAAATCATAAATTTGTGCCACGATAAACATGATAATTATTTTATTTTTGTACTTTGCAAAACGCTTTTCTAGTCGCAAAATCGCAAAATTTCGTGTGCCTACGGCGCACATTGTGTTTGGTCGCCGTTTAAGAACATACCGTCACTAAAATCGAAACACGGTTAATTGTGGGTGGGATTTGCCTTTTATCCATTACTTTAAAATTGTCGTAGAAAATTTTCGTGTTATCATTAATTAAACAAGGTTGAAAACGCGTTTTTTTCCCGGTTTGTGATGATATATAAGATAATTAATCCGAAGTATATCCATCAATTTTTATTGTACTGAAATAAATTTTACTCCATGGGAATTTACAGCAGATTTACGGATTTTTCAGGATGTTTTATCTTTAAAAATAATCGGAGTGTCAGCATTGCGATTGAACGGAGTCAATGTTACAAGCACATCTCAAATTTGTTGAATTTGCAAAACAGAAAAAATATGGATCAAAACAATATATGATAGGCGATGGGCAGTTACCACAAATTTTTATTTTTATGTCGGCAATTGGCCGAGGTATTTTAAAATTGTGAATTGTAAAAAATTGTTTTGTTTTGTCGACGCAACCGCTGGTTAAATTGAAGACAATTAAATAAATAAAGCGAGACATTTTAAATATGCCCTTATCGGTCATTAAATTTATTACTTTGCACAACAGAAAAATCATTTTTCGTTGTAAAGGTCGGCTCTTTTAACAAGTGGCGTAATCGCGGCGATGACTATGTATTTTTGATTTAACGATATACTTCATATGCCTTTTCATTGTACGAAATAAAATTATACTTTTCGGGATTTTATATCAGTTATTGAGATTTTTCTAACGGCGATAACGAGTTGGCAAGATTCCAAAAATATGTATTAAAATTAAATACACCGTTTATCTCATATTTTTATGTCCTCCGATCGCCGTGGCATTTCAGAGAACTAATGTTTTAATTTTGACGTAAGAAGAAGCAACCGCGAGTTACGTTGGACACAATTAAACTAATATATAAAGACTTTTTGGAATTTTGTAGTTGTCAGGGATTGAATATTTCACGCGACAAGAATAATCATTATACGCTGGAAAGACGTCCCTTTAACGAGCGCGTAATGCGAAGACTGTTACAGACCGCAATGGGAATTTATGATTATGAAACTCCCCCCTTTTGAAAATCCTGGCTGCGCGCCTGGATAGGTAGTTATGTTTTGTTGGTATTTATGGTAGTTTTTTGCTAAAATCGCACATTTTTGCAAACTGTTGTCTTCATATTCCATGCAATTGTATTACAGGAGAACACCACCACCGTTAATGAGAGGTCCTTGGTACCCACCACCACCCCCTCCTATGTGGCGAAGATCCCCACCAAGGATGCCAAGGAGAAGGTAAAATAATTTTCAGTAAAGAAATTATGATAAGTGAATTTTGAATATAGAAAACAAAGGTTGGTCAAGCATTGTCTGGTTGGTTCACGAAATGGTACCATATGCCTTAAAGAATTTAAGGTCAAGTTTTAATATAAGTTGCCTTAGGTATAAAGGTAGGCTTACATAGGGATGGGCAATATAGAATGATTTACTATTCTAAAATACTTAAATCGAATCCAAAATACTGAATCGTATTTTGTTTTTATAGTTATTTAAATATGGGAATTTTCCCGCCATATTGATGGATTACAATTTGAAAAAAGCAAAATTGATCGGATTTTATTTGTTACCAAGCGGGACAATGGAATATAAGCATTTTAATAAATTACTTTTGGCCTTGATTTGTTCAGAGTTTATGTGATCCCCAATAAAATAAACGAGAATATCAGTCAGAGACCGAAGACTTATCGATCGAAAGTTAGGGGATCCCCAAAACAGCGCTCTTACTCCATAGTGACACCTTGTGTCCCATCACTAATTAATTGATAACTCGCTAATTATACGACATAATTCGCACAAAATCAATAGACTTCTGGTGCGAGATATGATGAATGCATATGCAAAATCTGCAGCAGATCCAATCTCGCTTTCGTGAGATATCGCGTGCATCTAACAGACAGACAAACAGACAAATACCTATCAACATACTTACCGATTAAAATCGATAAGTAATAAATACATTATACACTTCAATACTAAATTGTGAAATACAATTAATATGTATGAGAAAACATTGGATCATTATTAATGTGAGAGCGCAGAAAACACAGGCCAGACCGAGGTCACTGCAATTTATGCGGCCGCACTTGGTAGAGCGTGTTGATTAATGGTGTAAATTAAATTTAACGACTATCAAGTATGTCAAATCTTAATTCTCGTTATATATCTATCCAGACTTGGCGATACGCTTTGCATAATGTCCACCAATAGTTAAGGCCGGGTAGGAGAACTGTGTTCCACCTTTTTTAATTTATCGTCGACTAAAATACCGCCCAACACTTGACCAAACATGTGTCAAGCTTGGACGATAGGAACAGATTCATCGGCGAAGGCTTTGAAAAGTCATTTAATTTAGAATGAAGAATGTTTCACGTATTCCAAAAATTTAAGATTGTTGCAAACATGTGATCGGAAAATAGCCAGTAAGACACCAATAATAAATATTAATATCAGCGAATTAGATAGTAAAATTGTGAAACGCAAAAATGGTGCAGTAATGCGGTCTTCGCGTTATGAATATGCAAGCTGGGTTTAACGGTGTTTGATGTCTGGTTTTTGCAGGTTCTTTGCTACACAAGTATGATCAAACGAGAGAGATTTTGTCGTGAGAGAATACGCTCGTCGCTGATTAATAAATTAGAAATACAAAATACAAAAGTTGACTCACGGCGTCGAAGAGGCGGAAACCGAATCCTGCTATCGGATCCTTTTGGATTCGAATACTTTAGAATTCGGTATTCTACTTTGCCCATCCCTAGGCTTACCATATATATTAAACAAAAAAACGGGATAGTGCGGATTTGACAAACATTGGTCCGATTCAGAGACTTATAGTAATATTCAACTCGTATATGGCTATTAGTAATATTCAAATAATTGGAAAACGTGCACAGTGCACTTCCTTTTCAGCATTTTGAATAGTTTAGCAGCATTACAGCTAATTGTTGATGCCATGTTGAATTGACGAATTGTATTATATATAAAAATTGTAACATACCAATATAGTACAATGGTTCCCAACCTCGTCAAATTCGCCTATTTTGGAACTTTATTCCTTTATTTACATTTTATTGGTATTAAGTGAAGTATTTGTGACTGCCATACTGCATTACCGAGACATGTCTACCGGCCGGGGCGCTGGGTCAGCTTGTCAAAATTTGGACTGTCCCAGCTAAACCTGGATGTACAGTGAGTCTGCAGATATGACCAAATCAAAAAGTATTCTTATATTAATAATGCTTGTGATCCTTTGTGCCGAAACCACTGTAAGTTGGGCATTAAGGGTACGGTAACTAATAAGGCAACAATATTCAAAATGGTTCTCAGGTCTCCGCCAAGACGACGGTCACCACCAAGAAGACGTCGACAAAGATCAAGCTCAAGTGATTCGCGTTGAAAATTTTCCATCCGATAACAACAGTAAAATTTTTCGGGCGATTTTATAATTCAAGATGTCTTACAAAATGTTAGCGCTGTGCCAGTCTGCAGAGAATGGAATGATGTGAACTTTTTTTATCATTTTTCATTTTATTGGGTCTAGTGTATTAACTGAATAATATTAAATGTGAAACTCTTTTGTTTCATGTTGTGTCATTTCATTACACAAATATTAAGGTGGTTCCAGTCTCGCTACAAAGTGCTGCTTTATCGCTACGAAATAATACAACACGCCCGGAAGGTGCTGGTTTTCAACTTTTTTCAATTTCGGGCCGGTAAAACCTTAAAACTAATTTGGTTGAACCTTGGAGATCAACTCAAGATGATAAAAGCACAAAACGTGATTAAACAAATGGAATTCGACAAAAGTATGCAATTCAAAAGCAAATTTAATCAGAAATTTGCAGCCGTCCTTTCGATATCATACAAGTTAAACGTAGTTGTATATATTTACGGTTAAACGGATTCTAATGGAGTTTTTCACAAGGCGGAATAAAGCGTTGTGATAAACAAGTGATGCTCCAATATGTGGACACTTAAGACCAAATCGCAGAGCGTTGTGATAAACAAGTGATGCCCCAATATGTGGACACTAAGACCAAATCGCAGCAATAATCTACCTTACAGTTTACACTACGACTACGTGAAAAAACTTCCCACTTTGGTAGCACGAAAGAGGTTGAAGAACAGCTACAAATAATATGTTTTAATTTTGAAGATGTCGACGCACAATTTTCGAAGTGGAAAACTAATCACATAGAGGCCACAGAAAGTTTTGAAATCAAAAATGTCCTGCATATCTTCGCATATAAGCCGAATGTAAAACTCAAAAAAGTTGCCAAACTAGGGGGTCCGCTTATACGCGCATAACTCTGATTGCACCAAGGGGTCTGCATTGTTTCCATGTCATGAATTGTCCAAATTGATTATAATGAAATAGAATAATATGGTATTCCGTGATGAAGGATGAGAAGAACACGCATGCCGTAATTTGGTACTATATAAGAAAGGACCGATATAAGAAAGAAAATGCCTCGCATGCTACTTACTTAAACAAAAAGCATCGCCTCTATCGATGACTGACTTTAAATTTGAATACTAGTTTTGCATAGCTTCACAAATCAGGGAGAATAGATTCGATTTTTTTTTTGAAAGCAAGCAAAACCAAATGAAACTGAGTACTTAAAATTCCGTGTGCTGAGCTGTTGAATGGATCAAGACCAAAAAAAACGAATGTCAACAAAACAAAAAATTTGCCAGGATACGCCGGCATCTTGACGTAGCCTAGTTTTTATTTCATCCATTAGCACACTGGTGGGCCATAGAGTCATTTTTAAGTGGGTCACAAGTAGGGCTGGGCATTTCGAATCGAATAGTAAATTATTCGAATCGGTTCAGACTGGAATTTCGAATCGCCGCCATCTTGTTTTTATTTTTCCGCTAATGGTCGAGGTGAATTCCCCAATTTTTTTTTTTCATTGAAGTCATATTTTTTCAACGAAATTCTAACATATGACTATTTTCTGCAGTGAGTTATTGATAAAACGTGTTTGTTATTCTGTGTGAACGCTCAGTAATCTATCTGAGTGATTTATTCTATGTCTTCAGTAATTCATTTGTTGAGAGGACCAATTACTATGATAAAGTCGCTTACAATTTTATATTTTCAAGTATTCGAGATTCGATTCGAAAAAATTATTCGATTCGATTCTGGAATCACAAGGTATTCGAAAATGCCCAGCCCTAGTCACAAGCCTATTAAAAATTACTACGGTTATTGAAAAGTTTGGTTTCAATTGTGTCATTATAGTCAAATTTTTAGTGAAGTACCAATGAATGATGCTGCTGCTTTTCATTCTAATTATTAAAATGAAATTATTTATTTTTGCAAAAAAGAGTCTCGTTTTTCTTGTAGTTTTCCCCTTGCATGAGAAAGTTTGTGGGCCACAGAATTTTCATGCAACGAAAGTAGGCCACGAAAGAAAAAAGGTTGAGAACCACTGATTATTGATTAGCACAAAAGACGGTACTACCCAATTAATTACAGAAACGACTATTTCTACAAAAGGCCTTCGCCCTTCAAACGTTATGGACTTTTCCCCGAGCATCGACTTCCTTGTTTACTTCGTGACATTGGCCAATCAGCGAGATGCAAAAAGTAACGTAACAATACTCCCTTTTCGTATCCGCTCAGACACTTTTCTCACTCAGACATATTTTCAAGCGTGGTCGTAAACATTACCTCGTTTTCGCGTTTTTGAACTCTATTCGTTAGTTTACAGTCGTGTTTCGGAAACTTAAATATAAATCAGATAATTTAATGATCACTCTGTCTTCCTGGGAGTTTTAATTTAATTGCAGTAATAAAAAATTAGTGTAGAAATAGCTGTGATGGACTAGGCTAAAATTTTTTGTCGGTACTTTTAAAACACAGATTGTTGTATGTGATGAATCATAATGATGGTTTGAAACACATACCCCATTTTACAGGCGCCAACTCGCAAAAGCACTCTTAAAATAGCCCCGAAAATTTTGCAATGGTGGAGTATAGGAAAAAATTTTCGGGGGTCAAAGGTCGGGGAAAGGTCTATATAGTCGGGCGCATGTATGCAAATCCACGCTTTTCACTGATAAACGAGATAGTCCTCAATTTAGCAGATCACCCCTGCTGCAGGGCTGCCACTCTAGATGTTGTATAAGTAGATCTAAATGTTTTTTTCAAGATCTAGATGTAAAATTTGGAGCCTAGATGTTAGCTATAAAACCTAGATATTATATTTCAAGGTTCTAAATATTATTTAGTGGGGAATAAATAAAGAGATGTGTAGTCTATATCAGTGATTCCCAAAGTGGGCGATATCGCCCCCAGGTGGGCGAAAACGATACAGAGGGGGGCGAAAAAGTTGAAGGGGGCGATTTCGCGAAACCTGTTTTTAGTCGGCGCATGGTGCACTTGATTACTGTACTCTGCGTGCTTTCGTACGTTTGAATCACGTGGGCGAATATCAGACGCGAAAGGATTGCTGGACTCGCTGAAATTTCGGTGTTTAATTTAAGAGTGGTTTCGCGAGTTGTTGCCTATAAAATGAAGTATTTGTTTCAAACTATCATTCTAATTCATACCATTCAACAATCTGTTTTTTAAAAGTACCGGTAAAGAATTTTTGCCCAGTTTTTCACAGCTATTTCTACACTAATTTTTGATTACTGTAATTAAACTGAAACTCCTAGGAGGACAAAGTGTTCATTGACTTATTTTATTTAAATTTCTGAAAAACAACTAAAAACTAACGAATATAATTCAAAATCGCGAAAATGTGGTAATGTTCACGACTACGCCTAAAAGTCTGTTTGAGTGAGGAATGTGTCTGAGCGAATGCGAAAGGGGGCATTGTTACATTTATATTTGCATCTTGCTGATTGGCCAAGTAAAGAAGGAAGTCTTTGCTAGGGGAAACATCCGAACGGCGGTTTTAACGATGAATTAATTTTATTTATCATCTACGCTCGAGGAGTATTCGGATATATTGCAATGCAATAAGGAAATCAAATTCATATTCTATTCGAGAGATTCATCACTGCTTAATTTTCGTAAGAATGTATCTTCTCAAAGAAAATCTTTATCAAAATTTCACAAACCATGCAAAAATATTCACTTCGATGTTTGAAAGTAGGCTACATGTGTCACATTAAATGTTATTGTAATAATTTTTTAATAAGACGACTGAGTTGAGTTCACGAATTGTCGGAGTTTTTGCACGATGTTCCGTTTTTAACTTTCAAAAAATATATACGATCCGCAAAAGAATAGCAATCATAACTTTGTCCCGCGAGCGACGTAAAATTTGCCGACCCCTGAGCCATCCGAGTCCACGAATCCAAAACAAATGGCTGAATAATGCTATGGACTCTGGTGATCGGACTGGAGGACGTGGTAGGATGAGGCATGGGGGATGAATTTTACCGCCGAAGAACCTATATATATCATGTATTTTGGTTAAGGTCGTCAGGCTGTAGGGATGAATGACATGTAACTAAATCATTATTATAAGTTTTGAAAAATTAATTTTGTTTTCATTATTTTAATGTGAAACGGGGTGGATTTAGGGAGTTAAATGCTATAAGGCAAGAGTACATGGCGGTTTTTGAGGAGGTAGAACCCTGGATTCTTCCATATCCGACCTCTGATATGGTGAAAAGGGGGTTTTTAGCCGCGAAACTATTGATATCAAAACAACTAAATTGCCTTTCCATCAGTAAACGGGGTAATTTTAGATGTAATAAAAAACTCGCTGAAGAATACCAAGCTCATCCATCTCATTAAAAAACACTATAAACTATGTTTTGTCTTCTTATTTGGTCTGTAATATATTCGTTTCAGACTTTCATTTTTTTTTGCAGTGCCGGGGGGCGATGAAGTTGTATAAACTAGTGTAGGGGGGCGATGATACAAAAAGTTTGGGAACCACTGGTCTATATAACACTGCACCGGTAATAGGTGAACAGGTGAATGAACATTATTCCACCATTTAGAAGATTGAGAAGGTGTAAGATTGATAAAACTCATTTATATTGTATTCGTCCACCGGTATCATATGTAATTAAGATATTTAAACGACGTGACGTTTTAAGTAACGTTAAATAGAAAGGACGACGTTGGTCCGATGAGTCGGTGCTTACTGCTTAGTACTGTAGTCCCGGTATTGTATTGTTGCCAAGGGGTGAGATTCAAGTTGCTTATTCCAAGATTTTAAAATTATAAATTTGTTCAAGTCTATAAGTGCTATTGAATTTGTCTCTTGTTAAACATTAACCTACCAAAATGCCAATGTGTATGCACTACCAGCAAAGATTAAAAAAAGATTGGTTTAAGGAATAGGCCTTTACTGCTTTAAGGAATGGATTGCCCCTTCAGACTGTCATTATACGAACAAGGCCTTTTGTTAGTTCTGTAGGTGGGAATGGAATTCTAGGTTATGATGTTAGCTTCTTCGACATCTAATATTCCTTTTTACAGTTTTATGTAATACAATAAACTTTGTATGATTCTGTTTCGTTAATTTTCATTAAATTCAATAACTTCATATCTGGGTTGGTAGCGTAGAAGTCATATTGGGGGTGACGAAATAGGGTCGTCGAGTCAAGT